CCATAATTTCTTCTAATTCATTAAGTCACAATTAAAAAAGGATATTAACTTAATACGTTGAAGATAAAGTAATATTGTTGAGACGTATGCGGATAGTTAAACTGAATACTGAAATGTGTGCGAATAATCGGACTGATTAAGAGTGAACTGTGAGCAGACTGATGAACAACTTCTCGTCAATATAAAAATTTCTTCTATAAATTAATCGATTATAGATGAATATGATTAAGTCGCTTATGATTACACATTTCCTATGATTTAATTTCACTATCTCCCGTACTCGCCATTATACTCGCCTTTCCTTCTACCAAACTCGACTAAAAATTATCTGATGACTTCTGCAAATCGTCTTCGTTTCAATTTACAAATAACAGTATTTACTACTAAAATTTAGCAGCATTACTGATCTGGTGAATAATTAGACGAGTTTGATTTCGATAGAGAACATTTCATACGGCGCCAACCTATTGGGTCAAATGAAAAATTTTGAGGAGTTTCACTGATTTATGAAGAAATTCGGATTCTGTGAAACTCATCAAAATTTTTACGGTCACGAATTTGAATAATTTCAGCCATTTCCTTATTCCTCGCGTTTGAGCGCTGGCCGCCTGGTACCAAAGGCCGGTTCCAGAGGCACTAGGAAGGTGACCTTCTCACTAGCATCGCCGTTTCTTTCCTCGTTCTTCAAAATTGGTCTCTTCCCAACGAGTTTACGAGGACGTTGGATAACTTCCTCGTAGGCGATATATTCCGGTCTGGAGACAGGCTTCTGCTTTTTCGCGTAATAATAAGCGCTCTCGTCAACGTAAGACGTTTGCGGTGGAGGTCTGGGTGACGGGGAGACGGGGGTGACGGTGTAACCTGCGTTAATCAAAGCGGACAGATCTTCTTCGGTCAGGACGCGTCCTTTTTCTAGCAGAGGATTCTCCGGTTGGACGTTTATTTCCTCGATGGTTAGCGATTTTACTGGCGATTTCTTTAGCAAACCGGAACCGGATAAATAGAGAGACTGGGGTGGGATTTTCAATTTGTGATTTTGGGGACGTGATTCAACGATCGCTGATTGCGCTTGTTGAGTTTGTTGAGCTTGTCGAGCACTCTGCTGCTCTTCGTCCGGCTTCGGGACAGATCGAGGTACGTAGGAGGAACCGGAGGCTTGATACTTCTGCAGCTGCTCGCTGGTGAAGTAGCTGTTTAGTAGAGGGAGAGGAGTGGTAGTCGAGAGGGTATAATGGTAGACTGGCGAATCCGGGTCGACCTTCTTTCCCTCTACCTGACCCTTGGTGATTGCTAGAATCTCCTTATTCACCTGTAACATGAAAAAGGTGGACGATTATTATGTACCCAATGAAAAATGAAATCGTCCTTTTCTATAGTACACAATTAGAATAACAATTATAAAATTCGTATTATTTAACCGACCTGATTGCGAGCTTGTTGTTGAGCCTTGTACAAAGCCTCGGCCTGTGCCTGGGCCGCAGCTTGCGCTCGCGCCTGGTTTTTCTCAAAGTTCAAAGCGTAATTGGAAACCTCCTCCTGTACCTTGATGTGAGCCCGTTGCTGGGCTTCTAATTTCTTAATAGCATCGGCATGAGCCTTAAATTCTGCTGCCTGCTGTACTTTCCTCGCCTCGGCAGCCTCAGCGGCTATTTGAGCCTTCACTTTCGCTCTGCAATATAATGTGTGTGAATATTATACTTACAAATACTCGTTAGTATAATTTTTCTCGGTCACCAACCTGTAAGCAGCTTCAGCGTTCTTCGGGTTCAACTGTTCCTGGAGATGAACGCGGCCAGCGTCGCTCACCTGAGCTCCATGCTGGATCTGTTCCAACGCCGATGGCTGCTGCGGTTGCTGCAGTTGTTGCTGGTGCTGCAGGTACTGCTGTTGGTGCTGCAGTTGTTGTTGCTGCTGTTGCAGTTGTTGCTGCTGCTGCTGCAGTTGCTCCTGTTGCCTATGACGTTCGTTCGTCTGCCTCAAGTGTTCTAACACGTCTTGCTGCTGTTTCTTGTACGCGGCCTGCGCGATCTTCTGGAATGCTAATGCCTCCTGCTCGGCATTCGCCTGAGCCCTGGCTTGTGCCTGCTCTAGGGCAGCTTTATATTGAGCGTCCTCGTCGATGTAATCGTATTGGGGTGCGGCGGCTTTCACTGCCTCGGGTTGGATCGTCTGATAACGAACCGGCTGTTCCTCCACCGATTGATAAGACACGATCTGTTGTTGGGATTGCGGTTGTGGTTGTTGATAACGAGGCGGTGAGGTTTCAATGTGATACTGCTCGGGTAAACGGGGTTCTGCGGCTTGTTTCGCGTACTGGGGCTGGTAACTGCTGACGGGAACCTTTGAACGCGATTTTATAATTGAGATTTACGATCGTCCGATTTACGATTTAACTAATCAGTTTAAAATTGGATAACTCACTAATTGCTGAGAGTAAGCCGATGAGCTTGCCCTCGGCTGTGTGGGTAGCAGTTTAAACTCCTGGGCCTGATTAGCCGACACCAGCTGCAGCAGCTCCTGCTCGAATGTACCCAACTTGGGCTGCGCGTAAGAGGCAGCCTGTTGCTCGTAAGCCGATTTGGAACCCAGGCGAGCATTGCGAATCGCCTCGGCGCGGTTCTGGGCATCGATCTGGGCCCGAATTTCCGCCGTGACCTCGGCATCGGCTAAAGCCTGCGGATGAAGCTGAGGCCGAGGCCTCGGAGGGACTACGGCCGGTTTCCGGTAGTTGTAATAGGCTTGCTGCAACTCCTGCTGTTGTTTCGAGTACTGTGGCTGCTCTCTTCTTGGTTGCTGGTGTTGCGGTTGTTGTTGGGGCTGAGCGTACTGTTGTATCACAGACAGGTACTCCGGGGGTAACTGTAAGTTCGAATAACTCTACGTTTCGTAAATGCGAAGCGAATGCCGATTATTTTGTAATTGAAGTAACCGTGCGATATGCTTTATTATCATGATTTAAGTCTGTGTTCTATGGACAATTACATTCGAATCTTGTCAAGCTAACAATAAGTAAATCATCGACCGCACGTAGGTACATACACACATGTGCACTTTTGTTAACGACTGTACAGCGTCCGTTGGGTGTGGTATTACCGGTTCTGGTTCCCCGTCTGCTCTCGAACCGATTAGAAGGGTAAAAAGTTATGCAACGAGGGAACGAGAACCGATCGCGTTTAGCACGACTGCGAAACGAAACGGAACGAAACGAAACGAAACGGTTGTGAACGTGTGGGTGTAGAGAGCTCCCCTTCACCCTCCCGCGACTGAAAAACCATTATGGATCAATGATTCATGCTCTTAATTTTTTTTTCATTTTCCGTATCCACACGTTCGTTCTTGCTGCAAGCCGGCGAACGTGACGGTAACGATTCCTGTGATCTAATACTGTATCGCCGCGATTGTATGCGTGTGATAATGCAACTACGGTGACATAACTGGAGTAGACGCATGAGATCCTTGAAAAATAAGTTCGAACACCTTTTTCATTCAAACTCTAGATGATAATGTAATAAAGTGTTAATTTGAAACAGTGATATATAAAGTTTAAACTCGAAGCGCTACAGTTTTGGCATAACAGGGTACTGAAGTTATTGTGTACAACAAGGAACATCAATTATTTTAATCAAAATTTCATTTTACGAAACAGGTCTTGCGATATAATGATATAATTGTATCAGGGATCGTATCGTAGGATTTAAAATTGATACGTGCCAACGAGAAAGGGCAAAAATGGCAAACTTTAATGCATAGTTAGCGGAATCGGGTCGTTTGCGATTGTTATTGCAACACAATAATGATCTGATTCGCGAAGGCGGACAGAAAAGAGAAAAATACATATAAATACGTACATACATACACACGTACGTAGTACATGGAAGCGTACATAACCGAGTATATGCATATGCCTACACGTTAAAGCCTGTGTCGGCTGTTAACTTATGCTGGTGATAGTTAGTGATTGGCGGCCAATAGTCACGGTTGACCGAGGGCAATGATGTTTGCCCGTTTCCAAGTGTACTCGGAGGCTTGTGTCTACAATCTTTTTTTAGGATAGCTGAGACGCAAATACTTTGATATTACGTGATTCTTATTACATGCGTGACGTAGATCACGCTAAAAATTGTTTACTATCATTGTCCGATCATGATTTTTAATGCTACTCTTTAATTCAATAAAATCTGATATAATTTGATTTAAAAATGTATTGTACGGAACAGCGATGTCCTCTGATGCGTAATGCAACAGTATTTGAACTTGATTTTTATGAGCACTTAACTTTTAAGGCTCGAGATAAATGGTCGAAGAAATCACTTTTTAAGAATATTGTTACGAGTACTTAATAAATTATTTATGGTGCAATTACCTCTTGGGCACCGTCGATGGGTTGAAGAATGTATTGGTTGGCCGATGGGTGCCCGTAATCAGCCGTAGCTGTAATGGGTGATCTCTTCGCAGGTTCCTTGACATCGATTTCCAGCATGACAATGTCCGAGGCAGAGGAGGTATTGTCAGTGACAGCGGTTTTCGCCTCCTTCAGGGCTGCGCTCGAGATCGTCTCTTCGCCGACGGAAACCGCTAAAAGACCTGACCATCCAAAACGAATAAAATATGTAAAAGAAACTTTAATGGCTATGAAATATTAGTAATTAGAGCATACCATAGAACTATAATTTTGTTCTTAAAAAATAACAAATTAAATTATTTGTGACAACAATTTTTGTTCTCTCAATCTACATATTGAGATGAAAAGCTTCTAAGTGAGATCGTAAACAGCTCTCTTACGGCATCACGTCCACATCCTGATCTCCGTTCTTCCTTTCGTTTTTCGTTCGAATCATTGGCCGATGAAAGGCGTTTTTGTCGAGGGAAAAGAAAAAAAACGAAAAAGAAGAAAAAAAAGGAGATCGAAAGTGAATCTCGTGGGAAAAGTTTCTCAAGAGCGGCACAAGCGCGTAACTTTCTCTGCGTGTTAGGCTGCTTTCCCAACTCATTTCCGCCTTCTCCGACTACTATGCACTATGCACCGCGCTCCGCACTCTGTACTGGCCACAGCACTTCTCGGTGAAGCAGAACGACATAAAAGTCACCCGCGAATTATTATTCGTCTTCCGCAATTCTATTCAATCGTATTTAAAAGTGGGTCGATCGCTTTTATTTCGTCCCCCCCCATGCGATATGCTTTATTATCATGATTTAAGTCTGTGTTCTATGGACAATTACATTCGAATCTTGTCAAGCTAACAATAAGTAAATCATCGACCGCACGTAGGTACATACACACATGTGCACTTTTGTTAACGACTGTACAGCGTCCGTTGGGTGTGGTATTACCGGTTCTGGTTCCCCGTCTGCTCTCGAACCGATTAGAAGGGTAAAAAGTTATGCAACGAGGGAACGAGAACCGATCGCGTTTAGCACGACTGCGAAACGAAACGGAACGAAACGAAACGAAACGGTTGTGAACGTGTGGGTGTAGAGAGCTCCCCTTCACCCTCCCGCGACTGAAAAACCATTATGGATCAATGATTCATGCTCTTAATTTTTTTTTCATTTTCCGTATCCACACGTTCGTTCTTGCTGCAAGCCGGCGAACGTGACGGTAACGATTCCTGTGATCTAATACTGTATCGCCGCGATTGTATGCGTGTGATAATGCAACTACGGTGACATAACTGGAGTAGACGCATGAGATCCTTGAAAAATAAGTTCGAACACCTTTTTCATTCAAACTCTAGATGATAATGTAATAAAGTGTTAATTTGAAACAGTGATATATAAAGTTTAAACTCGAAGCGCTACAGTTTTGGCATAACAGGGTACTGAAGTTATTGTGTACAACAAGGAACATCAATTATTTTAATCAAAATTTCATTTTACGAAACAGGTCTTGCGATATAATGATATAATTGTATCAGGGATCGTATCGTAGGATTTAAAATTGATACGTGCCAACGAGAAAGGGCAAAAATGGCAAACTTTAATGCATAGTTAGCGGAATCGGGTCGTTTGCGATTGTTATTGCAACACAATAATGATCTGATTCGCGAAGGCGGACAGAAAAGAGAAAAATACATATAAATACGTACATACATACACACGTACGTAGTACATGGAAGCGTACATAACCGAGTATATGCATATGCCTACACGTTAAAGCCTGTGTCGGCTGTTAACTTATGCTGGTGATAGTTAGTGATTGGCGGCCAATAGTCACGGTTGACCGAGGGCAATGATGTTTGCCCGTTTCCAAGTGTACTCGGAGGCTTGTGTCTACAATCTTTTTTTAGGATAGCTGAGACGCAAATACTTTGATATTACGTGATTCTTATTACATGCGTGACGTAGATCACGCTAAAAATTGTTTACTATCATTGTCCGATCATGATTTTTAATGCTACTCTTTAATTCAATAAAATCTGATATAATTTGATTTAAAAATGTATTGTACGGAACAGCGATGTCCTCTGATGCGTAATGCAACAGTATTTGAACTTGATTTTTATGAGCACTTAACTTTTAAGGCTCGAGATAAATGGTCGAAGAAATCACTTTTTAAGAATATTGTTACGAGTACTTAATAAATTATTTATGGTGCAATTACCTCTTGGGCACCGTCGATGGGTTGAAGAATGTATTGGTTGGCCGATGGGTGCCCGTAATCAGCCGTAGCTGTAATGGGTGATCTCTTCGCAGGTTCCTTGACATCGATTTCCAGCATGACAATGTCCGAGGCAGAGGAGGTATTGTCAGTGACAGCGGTTTTCGCCTCCTTCAGGGCTGCGCTCGAGATCGTCTCTTCGCCGACGGAAACCGCTAAAAGACCTGACCATCCAAAACGAATAAAATATGTAAAAGAAACTTTAATGGCTATGAAATATTAGTAATTAGAGCATACCATAGAACTATAATTTTGTTCTTAAAAAATAACAAATTAAATTATTTGTGACAACAATTTTTGTTCTCTCAATCTACATATTGAGATGAAAAGCTTCTAAGTGAGATCGTAAACAGCTCTCTTACGGCATCACGTCCACATCCTGATCTCCGTTCTTCCTTTCGTTTTTCGTTCGAATCATTGGCCGATGAAAGGCGTTTTTGTCGAGGGAAAAGAAAAAAAACGAAAAAGAAGAAAAAAAAGGAGATCGAAAGTGAATCTCGTGGGAAAAGTTTCTCAAGAGCGGCACAAGCGCGTAACTTTCTCTGCGTGTTAGGCTGCTTTCCCAACTCATTTCCGCCTTCTCCGACTACTATGCACTATGCACCGCGCTCCGCACTCTGTACTGGCCACAGCACTTCTCGGTGAAGCAGAACGACATAAAAGTCACCCGCGAATTATTATTCGTCTTCCGCAATTCTATTCAATCGTATTTAAAAGTGGGTCGATCGCTTTTATTTCGTCCCCCCCCTCGTTCCCGTAGCTCCTCCAATTTTTATGCATTCATTATATCACCTTTTACGATTTGCTTTATTCACCGGTTAATCTGACAGTTCTCAGGCCATGTGAATGTCGAATACTTTAACAGAGAGAGAGAGCCAATTAAAATTTTACAAAAGCAGTAAAAAGCGTGGAAACTGGTAAGTAGGAGGAAAATGAGAAGTAGGCGTCAATTAAATAAGAGATTTGTAAACCGGAGGTTGTTGTTACTTAACATTACTGCGTACGAGCAGAACAAGAAGAAGCTGAAGCAGAAGAGGCACCCGCGGCTTCATTACTCAACGCGAGCAAATTGCTCGTATCCGCGTGATTTCTTGTAACAAAGAAAAGGGACAAGCTATCTCTGCTGGTCGAAACAGAGATATTCTTCAACCAGGTACAACGTTCAGTTCGAGTTTGTTCTCCGGTATGCAAATCCTTCACCGTTTGCCAATCTTTTCTCAACCCAAATGCATATTGTACAAGGTTTCACACTGTCCTATTTCGCTGTCCTGTGTGAAACTACGCGTGAGAATGATTGACAGATAGGATAGGAGAGGTTGCAGAACAAGGCGCAATGCAGTTTTTTATATTAAAACGCCCCTCAAAATATAACGCGATGATCTTTCCGCATGGAAATAAATTAATGCATTCGCAATAATATAGTTTCCAATCTGATACATATGTACGTATGTACGGATGTAAGTACACGTGTGCAATTTGCAACGTCCTTGCGATTCGTTGATACGCGGAGAAAGCCGATTGTAAAAACTGATATATTCTCAAAGAGAAAAGACACGTATATTTGCTTAATTATTTCCTTGCTGTATGAACACGGGCGGAATCGTGTATTTCGAGCCTCGTGAGATCTTTTAATAAGTAGCATGAAATCTCTCGTTAAGCAAATCATTACTGACACGCGCATCAGACTGATGAATCAGAATTGAAGAACATCGGCGGAATTCGGAATATTTCCATAAACCGTCAAGCCGGCAACCGTTCTACTTTAGATATCGCGCAAATGTAAGTATAACTGCACTCTCGGGTAAAACCTGGCTCGTTAGAAAGGTGATATCGTATAACGTGCACACACGTACATACATACGTACGTACGTACGTACATGTATATATATTGTATAATGTTCGCTTATTTTACTTTCCAAACGCGGATTTCTCAATCCGAGTGACACGCCGCAGAGAATAAAACACATTTTACACAGCGCCGCCGCCGCTCCACTTTTTAATCCAGTTCTTCCTCCCGTTCCAAGTATCAATTATCTACCGTCTTTTTGATCGTCTATGTTTTCATAGTAGAAAATGCACTTTTAATAGGTGCAACATCATTTTTTGTTTCATGTAAAACGTTCAATTTACCAATAACTCAATTTATTAAGTCAATGTTTTAATAAATTCGACTGTCTTTGTCTTTATCAAAATTATATAAATTATCAAATATTGTCTTGTTTTTATCAAAAGCGGTGTTCCTAGGGCAGGCGTGTTTCTCGGAAATGAAATTATATCGTGGGCGCACCACACCGTTTCGTTAGAAAAAAGCACTGTTCGCGAACAATGGGTTTAGAAATGAAAATTCTCGCGGACATTACGTATAAAGTATATAAATATTTCTGGGGCACGGCCTTGCCCGAACAAAGAACCGTTTCCGAGCTGTCTACCGCTTTTTTCCTTCCCATCGCCCGGACAAATGAAAGGGAACTTTTAGTTTTGCTACGGGGAACGCGGATACGGACACGAAACTGTCGCTGCTATTGTACAAGATTTATGGAAAAAAACGATTCTGCGGTTGGCATTGTGACTCCGCGACACGTCGGCCGAAAGATTAATGATCCTGATCTATTATAATTTTCAGTTCTCCGACGTCTTACCTAATACTATATTTATATTGCGTTGAATTTTAATTTCTAACGTTATTAACTCGACGTTTCACATTATATATTGATTTATTTTAATTTAAAATTAGTAGCTTCGTTAAACAGCTTCGTCCTAGCTGGACGTTAGAAGTCACGAGCCTGTTGCAGTGTGATTAGTATATATTGTAAAGCGAGTACGCACAAAGGGAAACGCGTTACAATGTGTAATGTTACATAACCGTTTGAAATCCTTAGCCGGAAGTGGTAAACGCAATCGGATGAGGACTTGGAAAGGCGAACCAAAGAGAACCTGTCGATCTTTCATACCCGTTGTTACATACTCATTATTCATTATTATGACTAATTGAGACTCGTTGCTCTCTAATTATTCAAGAATATCTCGAAATTACCAAAGGATATTACACGCGCAGGTGTGCGTGTATTTTAAACTTTCAAAACTTGATTTATAATGAGAAATCTGTTGCACTTCCTTTCGGTAGAAACAACAATGGACCCTTGCATTAAGAATATGGTTTTCACAGAGAGCATTAGGACAACATTAGAACAAACGAGGAATGGAATAACAGATAAACTAATAATCGACTGTAACAGTTTTTAGAGTGTAGTAAAACGCGTCTTATTACTTTTTAATGTCTATACGGATGTACATAAATAAAGTTCGTAATACCAGTTTCTAGATTTCCATTTCTCTAGAAATGATCGACGATAGAAAGTGTCATCAATGATTTCCCTTTGGAAAGACATTTATAAATGATATACGACTTAGAAAATGACTCATCATTGTACGGTCTCGCTTCAAGAAGCTTCAACCCTAATAATTCAATCTTTTCATTTAAGTAAATTATTTGCTTTCATCAGAAACTTCTTAAGTCATACTTTAGACATTATATATTAACGCTATACACCAAACGAAGGGAGTGAGAAGTATATTGGCTATTGATTTAAAGAACCCAAAAATATGTAAATGTATGAGTGGTATAAATAAGTAAAATACTCATATTCATGTATTAACGCTATGTATATTACTCATGTATGTTGAAACGTTTGTTTAATAATTAAATAAATTCGCACGCGTGGCAATAACCGCCACCATTATTTCCTTTTGCAGATTATTCCCACAGCTGATTTCGCTAACAGTGTATACTCACAATTAGCCACTGCGAGTCCATATACGTACAATTACTAATTACACAAATGTATTGCGTTGCGATAGGGAAAGCATATACATGGTATGTGCAATTTATGTAAGATAAACTTTTATAACGTGGGTACGTACATAGAACGATGTGATTCAGTTGTCAGTTTCTGATTTAGATAACATAAAATATTTATGAGAAACATTTATCGGTATTGAATAAGTCCCGAATCGTTTTGTTGTATAATAGAGAAGGTCAAGGTCAAAAATTATTTAATGAACAATTGCTGAATAATTAATTGCAGCATTTTCCTTTGAAATTCTTCCTAAAACGAATTCTTAATTGTATTAGGAATCCTTTTGATAAAGGAACTTGTGAAACTGTTATTATTGATGGATTTAGTTTCTAAAAATATTTTCTGAAAATGAAATTTCATACATTCTACGAATTGCATTGTGTACGCGTGTGAAACGGGACTGTACTACCCATTTATCTGTGTAAGTAAGTTGAAACGCGAAAGTGAACCAAGCAAAAGTTGTTCGGGAAGCAAGTTTCTAAAATCCGAGTGCATTTTATACGTGTTTACTGTGAGCGCGAAAGATTTTTATCCAATGGAATCAAAGAGCGTCTAACAACCGATGATTGCAATTGATTTAAAAAAAAAAAATAACGATTTCCTTTATTTATTTTCAATTAATATGTAATTTGTAGTCGCCCGTAAATATTATCCCTTATCCAATATTCTGCATGACTTGATGTTAGATCAATAAACAATTAAATTGAAAACTAAAAACAAATATATTTCGAATAATAAAAATGAAATATGTGATTTCTTAATCCCTACTTCGCAATTTATCCACCCACAGTACACGCATAATCATTTGATCGATAATTAAAAATGAATCATTTAAGAAATATGTTCTGACGCGCGCACGTTCACACTGTTCCCGATTTCAAAAGTTTGCACAGGCACTAATAATAATAACAATCGTTGAGATTTTGGTGGAGAAAAGCGTGAGACGCACTCACCTGCGAGGATAAGCAGCCACATGGTGGTGAAATAAAAACGTTAGAGAACACGAGGCGGCGAGGCGAGTGAATGGTACGCGAAGGCGAATTTCTGGTCGCTTTATAGACACCAGAAACGAAGGGGAAAGGCTACGCCCGGCCAGGGTGATAGAACACCCAGGTAGGGTGGCTTTTGCCATTCATTTCTCGCCATCAAAAATCGTTTTCAATAGCATTCGTATCATAAAGTCAATAAAAAATGTTCAATATATGTAAATACATTAAAATATTCAAACGGCATGTGACACACATGTGTACGTGCATTATAAATTAAAATCTATTTGCTCATTGGATTTCAATATTTGTCTGAAAAAAATTCGCATATCACATTCTTTATTTTGTTTAACGAATTCATCTAAACGTTGCAACAATCAAGGGAAATCTCTTCATCTCAGATGGATTTCAAAATCCCTTATCTTGGAGAATGCAAAGAGTCGAACACGAAGTGTAAATTACGTTCTGATCCTTGAACACCCTCCTAAGGGATATAAAAAATGTTGATATCTCTGTCTGATGTGCATGTTCACGAGTCGCAAGTTAAATTTGATTACACCGGCAATGCCTGTCTTGCTGTAGCTTTTCTAGACCGTCCCAAGACTTATGATCGAGTCTGTATGTACACGATCGAGCTGTGACTAAGTGCGCACGACATACTGCGATATAAACGCGGTTATATGTTCCTACGGAGCCGGCCGTGGGAAAGGTAATCGGTCAGAAAGAAAAGCAGGCTAAACGCGTACATGTGTAAGTACTTCTGTATACAGTCTGTATCATAAAATCCTGGACAGGATAACTGTGTGAAAAACAATGATTTTTGTAAAAGACAGACGCGAATCGAAGATAGTTCGCGGAGGGTCTTATTCATTAAGGATGTATAGGCTACATAGTACCTGCAAAATGGTAGATCAATTCATGGGTTTTTTGAAGAATTATAGTGACTTAAAATTTGTATGTACTCTTATGGTATTCAGCAGTAACCCAAAGAAAACTTTCTGGTATTTGGTGTGCGCATTTGGAGGAAAAAACTGACTTAAGGAAATACATGCCTAAAAAGTCTGGAATTTTTGACGATTTTTAGAATATATTTCGATATTTTTCGATATTT